TTCTAAACCTAGGTTTTGAAGTACACTTTTCGAAACCTCATATTAGGTTATATTTCCAACATTTCATAACCTAGATTTTGATCATATGATCATAGTTTCAAATCACTACTATTGGTGTGTATTAGAAGGGGGTATGGACATTAAATGAAACACCGATAACAAGTAGGGTTGGTCCAAGTTAACGCTCATCACGTACCGCACTTGCATTTGTTTCACTGTTCCAACTACTGCGCTTACCCCCTTGTAATACAAACCAATAATAGCGATTTGAAACTATGACCGTTTGTTAAACAACTTTTATCCTTAAATGAATTAAATTCTCAGATTTAAATGTTCAGTTGGCAAGTTACAATTACGAGGATTCGCATTCTTAATTTCACTTTATCTGATTTACTTTTTTGTTTAAAGTGAAATTCATCGGTACGTTTTCACTGCAATACTAAAGGACTGAGTGTGAGTTCCTTTGATAACATCTCTTGTGCAAGACCCGTGAAGATCCGGGTTACAACTGGTCGTCAGCAACCCATGCTTGTTTCCCCCGTGAAGATCCGGGTTACAACTGGTCGTCAGCAACCCATGCTTGTCTCCCCCGTGAAGATCTGGTCGTCAGCAACCCATGCTTGTCTCCCCCGTGAAGATCCGGGTTACAGCTGGTCGTCAGCAACCCATGCTTGTCTCCCCCGTGAAGATCCGGGTTACAGCTGGTCGTCAGCAACCCATGCTTGTCTCCCCCGTGAAGATCCGGGTTACAGCTGGTCGTCAGCAACCCATGCTTGTCTCCCCCGTGAAGATCCGGGTTACAGCTGGTCGTCAGCAACCCATGCTTGTCTCCCCCGTGAAGATCCGGGTTACAGCTGGTCGTCAGCAACCCATGCTTGTCTCCCCCGTGAAGATCCGGGTTACAACTGGTCGTCAGCAGCCCATGCTTGTCTCCCCCGTGAAGATCCGGGTTACAGCTGGTCGTCAGCAGCCCATGCTTGTCGTAAGAGGCGGCTGACGGGAACCTGGTCAGGTTCGCTGATTTGGTTGACACATCATCGGGTCCCAGCTGCTCATGATCACTGGACTGTCTGTTTACAGACTGCCGACATGCACCTGGAATAGTGCGGCTGTAAACAACAAACAAAGCCATCCATCCACCAAGTCCCCAGTGTTGTGTACTAAATAAGCACAAAGTTTGTATTTTGTTTGTTTGTTAATTAACGCTACACTCAGCAATTCAGTGGATGTCAATCAACAGCATGAGCAAGACCACTCGATCACGTTTGTCTCCTCTTACGACAAGCATGGGTTGCTGAAGATCAATACGAAACTGGATCTTCGCGGATCCTATATTATAAGTACAAAGAATATTGTTTAATTTATGAGCATTTAACAGCTAAGTGTCATTTTTACACGGTCGTTTCATCGTAAAAGTAATTAATGATTAAGTGTTTGCGACGCCAGCTGACAACACCTCACTTTGATACCGTGTCATCCGGTGTCGGTGGTCAATAACACCTGGTGTTCACTTTTCATGTTGACCATTGATCAATGTAAACCCACCGGCATGTCACAAAGTCGATGGTATGATTGAAGTGCAAACTTGATCCCTAATTGTGTAGACTGTCGATGAAGTGGTGAGCCTCACGAGTGACCAACATATGGTCATCTTGGAATATTGACTAGTGTGAAGGGGCGTCTGAGGTCTACGTAAAAACTGAGATGAAATATATAATATACAACAAGCGAGTCCGGTAATTCTGCTCAGCTACAATAGTATACTTCCGTATCGAAGGTAAACATCGTCTGCTACCACATTTACGCTCGATATCGGGACATTTCTACAAGGGACTGGCTTTTTATCACTAAAGGTAAGTAAATGACAGTAATTGACAGATAAATTGACAGTTTTATGAAATTAGTTTTCTTAAGACTTTTAAACCTTTTTCTTCATTATTCATTATTGGATTTAATATGAAACACTCCTCCTTACATTGATAAAGTGATTTTTGAAAATTATCTGGCTTTAATACGCTTCTATACTTCGGATATCCAGGCGGGTGTTATGCGCATGAGTTGCTGCGCAGACTTACCGGACAGCAAGCGGTGTCATCAGAACGCCGGTAAGGTCAACCGTATGGCATAATGCAACGTTAGAATCTTATGTTTGTCAATAAAACTTATATTTCTAGGTAAATATGATGCATACCAGCATGTTTAGTCACGTAAACCACAAAAAATAAGAGACGTTATATAGTTGCCGTATTGCGATCGATGTGCATAGGTGAAAGGAATTACCGGACGGCATTGTATAACGTTTTCACAGCACCATATTTTGTTGGATGTTTAACGCCGCAGTCAGCAATATTCCAGCTCTATGAGGGCGGTCTGTATATAATCGAGTCTGTATATGTTCACATGGATTTAAGAGGACATCGCCCTTACCATCGTGACTGAATTCACTTTAGAAATCACATGACTGAATCAAGAACAGACTTGGCTAACATGGCCTGTAAAACAAACATTTTTATTCAACAGAATCGGTAAGTGAGTGAGTATGGTTTTACTCCGCTTTTAGCAATATTGCAGCCTTCTTACGCGGGGGATGTCCGAAATGGGCTTCACACATTGTACCCGTGTGGGGAATCGAACCCGGGTCTTCGGCGTGACGAACTGAACTGACATTCTCGTGAGGACCACGGACAAGAGGGCTACCTGAAGCCCCCATTGCTGGTTGAGTTTGTATTGCATGAAAGTAATACTCCTGTTGAAGGATTGGTCATGGTTTTCTGGGTCCATTACTCATGAAAAATAACAGCTTGTTATTGATAAGATTTTTATTAACTTGGATGTTTAGGTTCATGGATAACACATGTATTTTGGTGTACGGGACAAGTCTCTACCACGTTTTGGGGACAAGTCTCCACCACAAAAACGTATGTACCCGGCTAAAACTCCTAGCTCTGACTGCCATATGCTGTTGACAGAATTCCGTACAACAGGTGAATGTTGCGTTATGCCGCAGTCGGCAATGTTCCAGCCACATCACAGCCGCGTGTAAACATGGTATGTACCTGAAACAGACAGTTACTGATTGTATGAGCACCGCCCATGTCAGTATAGAATGTCAACACATTATCAGTCAATACACACACCATAATGTCATTTGAACATCTTCGTCAGCGAGTACCAAACTGGGGCGAGTGTACTAGCACACGGCCATTCTGACCACAGTGAAACAGTGTTGCCATGGTAACGACACTGAGAGGTAGCATGGATACTATAAGGTAAAATCACTTCATGATTTGGTCGTCCATTGCAGAACATAAACCACGCACAAACACCTGTATTCACACCTTCCACACTTCAAGCATAAGCTGGTGGCCCAGTGGTCTAGATGCCACAGTTCACAGTTGCCTCCCTTACGAGAACAGGAAACTATGATTGTGAGTCCCAGCAAACCCCCATTATGTTAGCAACATTACCATGGTCGTGGGTCAGTGACCTGTATCAGTTAGGTCTCACCTCCAACATCAATGCCAACTGTGATATAACTGTAATAATGTTCAAATCACCTTTAAATCCACCTACTCCCTCACTCACTCTCACTCTAGAATAAGTTAATGTTATATCTACAGAACATAGTATGTAAACAATTTACAACAATCTGAACAAACAATGCTGCAAAGGAAATCTGCATTACAATGTAAACACACATAAAGGCTCATACTTACCCATCACAATACTCCCTCTAAAACTATATGCCTTTAGTCACATTAACACTTTTTGAAAACTGTTGCCTACATTCATTTGACCCAAGGACTAATGGTATTCAAATCTTCATCCCTCACACAAATGATAAACAGTTTACAATCAAAATTTCTATATCCACTAAATTGACTTTCTGACTCACAGCCTTCTGCACATGTAGAACATTGAGTTTTGTGATATAATTGCATACTACCCTCAAGGTACTTGTAAATCACATAACTGACATAACAGCTGCTACTAATGTCTAGTACCCTTGCCAGTGATAACACACCCATCGTGTTGTAACCTAGATATACACGTAACAGCCATAATGAACATGCAGGAGCTCACCTATCAACAATGGGATTTTGTATGGAAATATTTCATGTTGTTATTCAGCTTTCGATGTTTTTCTTCAATAGAAATAGCATCTGTTTCTGAAGACATATTATGACAAATTTGTCCTCAAGACACCATGATATATCATTCTCACTTATGAGTCCACACAATGTTAAAAGTAACCATCCTATCAAAATATACTCAAAAAAACATGTTAAGGGCCATCCCATTTTTCAATAGTAAAGTATTTAATAGTTTATATTAAGATCCATATAATTTCTTTGAGAGGCATTTTAGAAGTTGTGAAGATGAAGGAAAACAGATTTGTATGGATAGTCAACTTCTTTATTGCAATGAGTGCGACGTTTCGGTGTAGGTACTAACACCGTTATCAAGCAAGTGATACAACAACTGAAGCAAGGAGAATTTATACATAGCTGTATTGTGAGTATATACAATTAACAAGGTTGATGTACATTGGATATTTGATAAGAGATTACAGCAGAGGAGGTTGATGTACAGAGTGATTGATTGTGATTAGAGTTGAGTTTATACAATTGATGAGTTGACGTACAATAGTTGTGATTACAAGCACAGAGGAGGGAGCATGGAAGCCAGATGGACAACGGAGGTAGGGAAGGATTACTGGTGGTGGTGTTTGATTAGGTGGTGATAGGCTGACGAGATGAAATAACCTTGATCTCGATTCATGGTGGGGTTGTGGCGTTGGATGTTTATGTACATCAACCTTGTTAATTGTATATACTCACTATACAGCTATGTATAAATTCTCCTTGCTTCAGTTGTTGTATCACTTGCTTGATAACGGTGTTAGTACCTACACCGAAACGTCGCACTCATTGCAATAAAGAAGTTTACTATCCATACAAATCAATTTTCCTTCAAGATTCATATAATACTTAAATATTGAATACTGGGGAGGTCCTTAACCATTCTTGTTGAGTATAGTTCCAACGAGCAAGAGAGGTAGCAATGTCACTTCTTACAGAAGTAGTCTATTTATTTGGTAACAGAATGAAGTTTCAAACCCTGGATAAATGAGGATGATTACAACATGCCGGATACCTGTGACCCACACTTGACAGTCAACCTTGGCAAGAACTGAAATTAATTTTGTTGTTCTAGAGGAACAGGACTATGTCATATCATTGTATTTGGGCATATAACAACACAATTTGGTTTAAAGAGGGATTTGATATTTTCTCTTGTCAATAAATCATAATCTGTCACTCTAGAACATCAATTATTAATTTTGTTAATGTTGTGAAAAGTTAAGAACCAGAGAGTAATGTGAATCACTCCGTTACCCTTCACTTTCAAGATGCTGTTATTGGTTATGAAGCCCGGTTAACAGCACAGAATATGGCAGGACTGTTGCTGGTATTGTTGTTTTGTACTTTTATATTTCACTTGGCCATGTTGACTATGATCATGACTTGAACCTTTCATTGTCGTGAGTTTTTTTCATGCCTGACAAAAAAACTTAACTTACTGGAAGTCAAAGAAAGTTACAAATCTTTGAAAAGTTAAAACACTAAACTTCCCAAATATGACATGAAAGTATGAAGTAACACAATTATAACTATGATGTTCCCAGTTTTACTCTGAGGTCGTCAACTTTAATGAGAACTGGATTCCAGTACTGACAATGTCTAACCTCATGTATAAAAGTGTTTGTTCAATTATTTCTCAGTCTCTGCAGAGGGGGGAATACTGTTTCCCTGATCATGTGAGTCACTGGGAGCATTGATGAACACATTCCATATCATATACCATATACAAATACATTCATTACACACTGAAAAGAGTATATTTCATTGACGATGTGAATAAGACTATAACTGTAAGCTACTTCCCCTGGATTATTCAACTATGTGTGTTTTATTCTGTCAACATTCATTACACAAAATGTTTCAATCCATTGCTCCTGAGACATGACAAAACTGATCATTTTCTAGTTTTAGTGTATTTAACAAAACATGCTTCACACAGAGAAAACACTTTCTGGGAGACCATCAAAGGGAGATAACTGTTGCAGTTGCCTACCTCACTATTTGTTTATCAACCCTTTCTTTAGCATTAAAAAGCAAATAACATGCCTAGTATTTTACAAATGAATATCATATAACAATACTTGCTGGAATACATTTTACCGAGTTTTTATAAAAATATGCATCACAAACATATATAAATATATATGACCATAATGAAATAGGAGCATGACTTCAATATAACTAAAACTAAAATGTATAACTGTTCCACCATATTTAGGTATGACAGTACATATGCACTTATAATTTTACACATATAAACAATCAAATCTATTAAACACAATTTTATTTAACACATATTTTTAATATTCTCGATTTTTCACATTAGGATAAAGCAAATATTTGAGTTTCCGGAAACCCAAACCAACTTTTGTTTAAACTGCAACACAAATAATTTTATCACAGCTGGAAACAGATGTTAAGCAAACCATTTTTCAGATTTCCCTTAATGCCTTTGCTGTAGCTACTTTGACTTACAAGTCAAACTTTGCCACTATAACTTAGAAAGCAGCCATCTGCAAGTATATTTTGGCTTTAGTATAAATACAAACAAAGAACCACCACACAACAACTAAATAAACAACAGATCACAGATGGGGAGTAACGATCAATGCCACAATGCTGCTGAGTAAACTCCACACAGTGATACTCCCTACACTTTGTACACCAATAGGCAGGTACTTAAGGAAGCACACACTGGAATGGAGCTTACAGCTGAGAAAGTGAAGGGACATAACTCTAACAAATCAAGCAAACTAATGTTAAACTCAAAGACCTAATAATTCAACTGGGCACCTGGATAATGATTGCAATCAAAAACAACAACAGGGTTGGAAAATTTGGGTTGACAAAAGTACGTAGAGCATGAACTTCATGTTCAGCTCATCATACTAACACTATCCGAGATCAACAGAAATGAATTCTTCCATTGCACGTGGAACACTATTCTCCAAAAACAATCACACCAATGTTTTTATGCTTAAGTTTTTAAAGCAGCATTGCATTAATGCTTCTACTCTTCCTGTATGTGTTATCCTGTGGAGCAAATTGAAGTTTAGCATTGCTCCAATGCTCTACATACAGTGATTGAGTCACACCAAACAACAGGTTTACAACAGTTTGTATATGCACTTGCTGAAACCAGTCACTGTGTCTCCTTATGAGTGTCAGGTAGTCGTGACGTTGAGGAGGACAATTCTCTGGCTTGGTTCTGAAGACATATATATTCATACACCTTGTCTCAGCCATCTACACCTTCTGGCAGACCTGAAGGATATGGCATCACTGGGCTAATCTTCGTCATCAGAGTCTCTCTGTAACTGCTCTGAAACAGGAATACCAACAACTGACAGACTTGGTCATCCACAATCGTCAATACTTTACATACATCATACTTGTTAAGACATTGTGACATGAACTGAAACTGTTTTGTCTTGAACCTTTTTAACATAAGTATATACACCAGATAACAACAAATTTGTGCATTATATCAATTCACACTTTTGAAGATGTACTGGGAGTTCAATGTCAACAATCCATAATACACAGACAAGTCTTACCAATTATGTTGAGCTAGCAAAGAGGAACCAGTCTATGGTAAACACAGACAACAGTGGACAAGGTAAACACAGGCAATACTAACCAATAATGTTGAGCTTGTACAGTGGACAAGGTAAACACAGGCAATACTAGACGATAATGTTGAGCTTGTAGAGTGGACAAGGTAAACACAGGCAATACTAGACGATAATGTTGAGCTTGTACAGTGGACAAGGTAAACACAGGCAATACTAGACGATTATGTTGAGCTTGTACAGTGGACAAGGTAAACACAGGCAATACTAGACGATAATGTTGAGCTTGTAGAGTGGACAAGGTAAACACAGGCAATACTAGCCGATTATGTTGAGCGTGCACAGTGGACAAGGTAAACTCAGACAATACTAACCGATAATGTTGAGCTTGCACAGTGGACAAGGTAAACTCAGACAATACTAACCGATAATGTTGAGCTTGCACACTGGACAAGGTAAACTCAGACAATACTAACCGATAATGTTGAGCTTGCACAGTGGACTGACTGACTGAGTTTGGTTTTACGCCGCTTTTAGCAATATTCCAGCAACATCACGGCGGGGGACACCAGAAATGGGCTTCACACATTGTGCCCATGTGGGGATTCGAACCCGGGTCTTCGGCGTGACGAGCCAACGCTTTAACCATTAGGCTACCCCACCGCCCCTTGCACAGTGGACAAGGTAAACACAGGCAATACTAACCGATAATGTTGAGCTTGCACAGAGGACAAGTCCTGTTTTTCACCAACCATGGATCAACACACTTTGTGTGAAACTGATGACTGCATGGAAGAACGCGGATTTTCTGTAACCGGAAGGAAACCAAATAAAACAGTCAGTCGCATTCACAATCGTTGGATTGCAACTAAACCCATCTTTCAAGTATGTAACCATGTAATGAAAACATGGCTCTTATATGGTATTCTGAATTGCACAACAGCCTTTTTCCTCATAGTTGCAAACAACATAACAAAACATAAGAGAACATCACGCATTTATTACTCTGTGGCAAGTGAAGATGTCTGGCATTAATAGATAACAAACAGCATACGGTCATCAATTTGTTTGTTTGTTTGTACTCAGCAGTATTCCAGCTAAATTATGGTCGCCAGTAAATAATCAATGAGAGACTGGAAAAGCCAGTTATAAAGATTGCGAGCAACGATCCATTCTATAGGGGAACATCTGGAAGGCCCATCAGGGATCCAGTTTGGCAGAACAACAGTACCTATCACTTGTCCTGCCATGTTTTACCATTACTTTGATTACAATAGTGTGTCATGTGATAGTAGGTATGAATGTCTCCTTTACTCTGCCTGAATCTCTGTCATTTTCTCATACCTGTTTTTTTAAAGAATAAATCAAGGCAAATGGCGCAGGTATCATGACCGGTGTTCATGTGGGCATGGTATTTCTGAGTCTTCATCATTGACAGAGCTTGACAGGCCAACTGACGCAGAGAGGCCTGAAACAATAACACGAGGATCATGTACGACAACCGTCATCTCAAGTTGTCTCAACCACCGTCCAAACAGAAGCATTGACCTTCCTAAATGTTTGTTGGAGAGTAATCTGATTTGATTGTATTTATATTCTGAGGTTCACATATCACAGAGTTACAAGCATGAGTCGAGACTTCGTCATGTACAGCAGCAAACTTCAACAGCAGCAGCTACCACAACTCACCTCCAGCTCTCTGTTGGCCGGACCCCATTCTCCATCCCTACCCCGGGGACTTCATCATGTACAGCAGCATCAGCAACAAGATGATGGTGTAGAAGAAGTTCCAGAACAAGCCAGGATCTGCCTGTATACATAAGTAATGTCAGAACATCCTACATGTGTGCGTTACCTGGAATTCTTGAGGTTTACAGAGATTAAAGCTATTAGGATGTGTAGATAGCTTCTTCAATGGCTAAGGCTGAAAATATTTGATATCCTGGCATCATAAATGTTCATACCAGTATGTTACAAAGGTTATGTACAATATTAATTCAGTGCACCTTGCTACATTCCTGCAGTCCTTAATGAAATATGAAAGGAAAGAAAGCTTCTGTCTGACCTACTACACTGTTACAGCTCCATGGCAACCCCTGTCTGACCTACTACACTGTTACAGCTCCTTGGCAACCCCTGTCTGACCTACTACACAGTTACAGCTCCATGGCAACCCCTGTCTGACCTACTACACTGTTACAGCTCCATGGCAACCCCTGTCTGACCTACTACACTGTTACAGCTCCATGGCAATCCCTGTCTGACCTACTACATTGTTACAGCTCCATGGCAACCCCTGTCGGACCTACTACACTGTTACAGCTCCATGGCAACCCCTGTCTGACCTACTACACTGTTACAGCTCCATGGCAACCCCTGTCGGACCTACTACACTGTTACAGCTCCATGGTAATCCCTGTCTGACCTACTACATTGTTACAGCTCCATGGCAACCCCTGTCTGACCTACTACACTGTTACAGCTCCATGGCAACCCCTGTCGGACCTACTACACTGTTACAGCTCCATGGCAACCCCTGTTGGACCTACTACACAGTTACAGCTCCATGGCAACCCCTGTCGGACCTACTACACTGTTACAGCTCCATGACAACCCCTGTCGGACCTACTACACTGTTACAGCTCCATGGCAACCCCTGTCGGACCTACTACACTGTTACAGCTCCATGGCAACCCATGTCTGACCTACTACACTGTTACAGCTCCATGGCAACCACTGTGTGAAGTACTGCATTGTTAGACGTCCTAAGAGGACAACACACACCTTGCCCTGTCCAACCTCACTGTTCCTCTCCAGACAGACGATGCCTCCATGGCCATTCTGCCGCCCACATGTTGCCCACATCGTCAAGGTGGGGAATTTCTGCATAACACAAGACAAAATATATTTAATTTAAAATAGCAGTAAAGGGTTAAAACCCAATGCTTTCTTGCAACAAATGTAATCTAGCCAGAATTGTTTTTTAAGAGAGGTGAAAACCAGGTCAGAAAGAAAACATTCCAAGAAATGGCACCTTTGTGTTATCGCCCCACTAACATTTCATTACATTGTTATCCAGAATGGTGTACACACGGTAATGTTAATACCTGCAAATAATACAATGCCCAGCAAAAACAACTTAGAACTTAAAAGGTAAATAAACTTGTCTAGTGAAGTTTAATTGCAAATTTGACGTCTTTATTGACAAAGTTGTCTTCTGTTGTTTGTTTGGCGAAGTGATACGATGTTGTTTTCTTACCCCTGGAAAAGGTTTGGCGAAAGCGTAACCCATAGATAAGCCGACCCCCTTGTACAGACTGCATTTTTTGGTCCTCAAAATTCGGCTTATCTACGGTAATATACAGTAAATATACAGATTCTTCAACATGGCTGTCGTGGCGGCCATATTGAGTGAAGATGGTTTTACATCACGTTTAGCAATATTCCAGGAATATCACAGTGGTGGACTCCAGAAATGGGATTCGCACATTGTACAATTGTTGGCAGTCGTACACGGGTCTTAGGCATGAAGAGCAAACACTTTAACCACTAAGCTACATCACCTACCCTTGCAGACATATTGAACAGAGGATATAAGTGTCTAGAACAGAATTCTTGAAACTTCATTTGTCCAGTGGTTTCTGAGATTTTGGATGACAAATGTGGACAAAGAACAAATATTCCATTACTTAATCTTACTGGATTGTCAGCTAGGTGAGACTAATCTTACCAGGAGCTCTTGCCTTGTCATGTTGACCAGCACTCTTGCTTTCAGCGTCATCTTACTGTTGACACAACAAAAAACATGATACAGGTGTATCTTACTGTCGACACAACAAAAAACATGATACAGGTATATCTTACTGTCGACACAACATAAAACATGATACAGGTGTATCTTACTGTCAACATAACAAAAAACATGATACAGGTGTATCTTACTGTGGACACAACAAAAAAACATGATACAGGTGTTATCTTACTGTCGACACAACAAAAAACATGATACAGGTATATCTTACTGTCAACATAACAAAAAAACATGATACAGGTGTATCTTACTGTCGACACAACAAAAAAATATGATACAGGTGTTATCTTACTGTCGACACAACAAAAAACATGATACAGGTGTATCTTACTGTCGACACAACAAAAAATATGATACAGGTGTATCTTACTGTCAACATAACAAAAAAACATGATACAGGTGTATCTTACTGTCGACACAACAAAAAAACATGATACAGGTGTTATCTTACTGTCGACACAACAAAATACATGATACAGGTGTTGGGGAGTGTAGCTGAGCTACAAACCACAAGGGAGCAACAAGGTTATTAGTTTTGCTGATGGAGGATCTATATTAACTAAGATTGAACATCAATTTGAAGAGTTACCAGTGCATTTCATCTCAGTAAAACTAGGAAATATTTAACATATAATCATACTGCATTTCTGTCATAATAAGAGAGTGTTTCAGCATCTTTTGATTCATAAATAACTGAAAACAGCTTTTTCAGAAGCAATTACTTGAGCAATGTTGGGTCAAAATATAAATATGACAACATTCCTGTCCAGAGAAAATGTACCATAAGCACAGGAATCATTCACTTTCCCATGTATTTTGTTATTTATGCCATTCTTATTTTAGATTTTCTGAAGAAAGCAACTCTGTAAGCAAAAAATAAACCAACAATAAACAGATGTTTATACCTTCTCAGTAGGGAGAGGAGAGCTGTCACATTTTCAGCATTATCAACAATAACAACTGGCTGTGAAAATAGCTGTGACACATCCAACTGAAAGAAAAAGACTCATTTTACTGCCATGTTTCTGCTGAATGAAGAAAGAGAATATCTGTTCCGACATAATTCTCTTCCACTTTGTCAGAAAGTTCATATACATTCACAGAAAAGGTTCAGCAATCCTAGATCATTAATATCTGGTGAGTATGGTGGTAGGTGTTCAGCTAAACATGGGAAAGAAAGGTCTACAAGCTGAAACATTAGTCTGTTCGACTTCAGTCAGAAGCAAAGGAGTAGCAGATGTTTCATCCATGTACAAACCATATGTCCAGCTGGTTTGCCAACCTCCACAAATGTCTGGTCATTGCTTTGTGACTGATGGCATTGTTTGAGTCCCCTCAGTCACCTACATTGACTAAACAAATATATCTGTATCTTAAGCAACTGTCATATACTTTCATATTGAAAAAGTGTCAATCAGAGAATATGAATTTTTCCATCTTAATCTAGTTCCCAAGAAAGCTGAGACTATTTCACTGAAGTGTCGCCTTTCCATGTCAAGGTGGAATGTTCAACTGACAGCATCAAAACTTTCAAGTTTGTATACCTGACATTCCTCAATATCAACTATGGTAGGTTCGGAAAAGGTTCAAGCAGTGTATGAAATAATCCAAAAACACAGCCAGACATCAAGGCTGGTAACTTCAAATTGTTACCAAGCAAAACTGGATTTAACCAGACCAAACACAAAGATATGGTGAATTTACTCAAATTTACTCACTATTTTACCAGACCATCAGGCTGGCTAGCTGTAAATTTAGACTATCCATCAGAAATCTAGCCTGTCTAGGGCTGTCAAACGGGCCTTATTTTATACACCGGTTCAAGTACACATACAAAATCATTTGACTTCCATGACATTTACTCAATTTTAGCTTATTCTTATACATAGATAAGATTCTATTGTTCGTTCATAGACTTTACCAAAGCTTTTGACTGCATTAATCATCAAATATTGTTTAGGAGTCTTGTGAGCATTGGTGTGAAGGGGAAATTTATGAAATTTATCATCAAGATGTACTCATCATTATGTGCTTGTGTCAGAACTGATACTGGATTATCATCTTATTTCAGCTGTAATGTTGGCACAAGCCAAGGATGTATTATAAGTCCTCAAATTTTCATTATTTTTATAAATCAACTATCACAAATGCTGGAGAATGATGGTGGAAGAGGTATTTTTATATCTTCACAAGCCAAGGATGTTTATTCTCTCCTATTTGCTGATGATGTCTCATCTGTATCTGACAGGGCTATGCAGCTCCAAAGGAAAATTAATGTTGTTGACAGGATTTGTGCAGAGACTGGAATGAAGGTGAACCTGAAAAAGACTAAAATAATGGTATTTCGCAATGGAGGTCCGCTCAGGGATTATGAGAAGTGGTTTTTAAATGGAACACAAATTGAGGTTGTTAATATGTATAGATACTTAGGTATTGTGTTTACTCCAAGATTATCATGGACAAAAGCGAAAACCTGTTTATCGTCTCAAGCGAGGAGGGCCATATTTTCTATCAACAATTATCAAAAATGTTTTGGATATATTAACCATCATGAATTGTTTAAGATATTTGACTCTATGATTGCACCAATCCTCTGTTACGGATCTGAAATATGGGGAACAAGCTACTGTAAAATTATTGAAACTGTGCACACCAGATTTTGCAAGTCATTTCTTAAAGTTAGTTAAACTACCAACAACAAGATGGTTCTGGGAGAGTGTGGGGAGAGCTCCCCTCCAGTATCAATATATCTCAAGAGCAGTCAAGTACTGGTGCAGACTGATACAGCTTCCACGAAACAGACTTCCTTATCAGGCATATCTAATGATGAAAACTCTCGATGATAATGGTAAAACAACATGGGCTTCTCATATTAGGTTGATATTATTCCAATATGGATTTGGTTTCTTATGGATATCTCAAGACATAGGCTGTATATCCACATTCCTGGTAATTTTTAAACAGAGATTCTATGACTGCTTCACTCAAAACTGGCATGCATCACTATTTTCGTCACTCAAATGTAAATACTATTCACAATTTAAATCATCTCTAAGCGTCGAACCATATTTAACCAGTGAATTGCTAACAAATCAACGTAAAATCATAACTCAGTTTCGGTGCTCGCAGTGGAATGTGGCCGTCATACAAACACCCCGTATAATGAACGTCTCTGCCTCTTTTGTCATGCTGCTGGCCTTGATTACATCGAAGATGAACTCCATATTTTATTAATATGTCCAAAATATTCCCAACAAAGATCTGATTGTTTTTCAATACATCTGACTCAACCACCGACAATTGAAACCTTCATCCGATTGTTGTCATCAGACAATATACATATTTTAAAATCATTGAGTAAATATCTTTCACAAGTTCGCCGTAAAAGGAATGATTATCTGTAAAACAAATCAATACTAAACTTTACTTAGCTTTACTCAGTATGTATTTACTTTTGCCAAATGTATGTATTATGGGCCTTGGGCCTAAATTACCGAATAAACCTGTCTGTCTGTCTGTCTGTCTGTCTGTCTGATAAGACATGCATCATCATTACACAACTACTTGTGTTCACAGTGAACAAGGAATGCAATGTACACAAATGCATGAAGTGTTCATACTGGGCTTCCTGACATCCATGGCCTATCATGTCAGCTAAATTTACATCATTTTCATGATCATTACCTCCTTGAAGATTTTGGGGTTGAGAGTCAGGATGATGATCGCTGAAGCACCAAACATCAGGGCATTTTTAACCTGGACACAAGAAAAAGAATATTAAAACATGTAGGTGTGTTAAATGAAGCTGCCATACCTCTGGTTTACAGATTTTCAAAAATGGAAATAAAATCAGTACGTATTTTGACTTCCATATTTTGATGGTTGTAGATGACAGTTATTGCTATCCCTTACTCTTTGATTATTCATGTCTTCGCTATTTACTGCCATTTACTATTTATAACTTCCATAAAAATGGTGTAAAGGGAGATTTGGGTTTTATCACGGCTATCACCACAATGGTCATGATCACTGAGCATTCTGTGCTCAGCAAGTTATATATTTGTCCCACTTAAAGTTACAATACTCAATTTTTGCAGCACTTAGCAATATTCCAGCTATCTGACGTCAGTCTGTAAATAATCAAGTCTGAACAAGAATATCCAGTGAGCAACAGCATAAGCATTGATCTACACAATTGGGATACAATGACACCCGATCCCATTAGTCACCTCTTACAAGCATGGGTTGCTGAAGACTAAGGCTGTTACGATTCACTCGCATATTCAGTGAATCGAACCGTAGCCCTTCATGAATTCAATTCGTTATTCGTGGCCACCAGAACCGAATATTCATGAATGTTTACAATTTTTTCAAAGGTGTCCGTTTTACTTGAACCCTTATGTCCTTTTTCAAAATGAGATATGCAAGAATTAAATATGTACTAGCCTTGTAGTACCGCAAGTCATGTTAGTTTTCCAAGGCCACACATGTTACTGTCAGCTATAACTATTAGATACCAAATTTGAGTGTCATGAGATCACTGATTATTGCTGTGACAAATTAACACTGTCAACATGGGCATTCAATATTGTGCATCAATCACTTAACTTCAATATTGTATTCATGAATAATTATTTGTATTCGTTACCCAATATTTGTGATACGTATCATATTCGCCACATAGTGTATTCGTTACAGCCCTACTGAAGACCACTTCTAACCCTGGATCTTCATATACTTTACAATACTCCATAAAAACACATAATGTTTATCTCCTTCAAGTGTATCAATAGCAACACTGAACGTATGATTTGTCTGAGGTGAGGTGAGGTGAAATTGGGTTTAACGTCGTTATTGAGAATATTTCGCACATATGACGACGTGCATGCGTGTGTATGTGTATGTGCGGCTGCTTGTACTAGCCCAGACTGAAGCTGGTTTTATAGTGCTAGCCCACTGAGATACCATGCCGCAGTGAAGCATGAATACCCCACTCAGACACATTATACTGACTCCGAGCCGACCAGTCCTTGTTGTACCTATTAATGCCGAGCGCCAGACAGGGACCAACAAGTACCATATTTTAACGTCTTTAGGTATGACGCGTCCGGGGATCAAACCCGCGACCTTCCGCTCTCCGGGCGGACCTCTAAACACTACACCACGGAGGCGGTCGATTTGTCTGAAATACCTGGAGTGATGGATTGTTGTCAGAGAAGCTACACATTCTGTGTAGCCATTAACCTACCCTGTCTAGCACATGTGGACAGTTGGTCGAGGTGCCGTTGTCCGTGATGGTGTCGATGATGTCATCAGCATAGTACAGGACACCCACCCAGTCTTTTGGAAGTCGGGCGAAACTCTTCTCATCCTCATTGCCACAGGAGTCCTCAATCTTGCACATACCAAATTAAATAACTTAAGACGTCTGTCAACATAGGTTTAAACAGTGCTTATTCATAGTTGTTTGGGTTTTCTCAAGTAATTCATACTGCATATCATTTTCAATATACAGATGATATATAAAATATATGACTTGTACAATGGTTTATCTTGATAATATACACTTCATGTAGCAATATCTTTTGAGCATGGGCAGCATGTACATCAGAATTTTCACAGACAAGTGGCACTTACATGTGCCTTTTTCATGCACTGCTAGTCACAGAAAATAGTATTTGTCTATGCTCTCAGACAGATACTGCATTGAAACATACTCTTTGCACTTGATTCTAACTTTCATGCACCTTCGACTGCAGGGATCAAGGCAAAAGAATCACAAGGCTGATAAGCTACTAAAGAAATCAAATACTCAAAATCCAACCAGTTAGTGTTGAAAATAAAAATATTCTTGAGCAACAAGAATATTTTGAATCAGGCCATGGAGATATGGTTCTAGTATGATAAATTTCGATACAGCATAGCATCCACAATGATTGCAATTCTGCAAACGTTTAATCAATAATTGATATGAAAATAAAAATAATCCAACAACGAAAAAAACACATTCAATTCTTTGGCGGATCCAGAGGGGTAGTTCAGGGGGTTGGAACCACCTGAACCACCCCCTACCCCCCTTTTTCAAAATTCCTGGATCCGCCCATGCAATTCGAACCAACATTCCATCAGTACTTCCCATCACTTAAGGAATGGTCTTAAATAAGAGTTACCTCCCTTGTGGAATATGTAAACATTCAGTTGTGACATATTTATTACAGACCAGTTACAACAAACAGAATTACAGGCCCGTAAACACAATACCAATGACGAAACGTACCAGATGCACCCTCCCATCAGCCACCTTCTCGCCACCTGCCCTCGAAAGCCATCCACGAACATTAGCTGTCAAACTCGACACCGTGTCCTCATCACTGGATGTGCTTCGTTTCGAGCCGAACTTTTCCACCTTTCTGAACTCGATTCCAGCAGTTTTGCTGGAAGAGGCTAGCACTGGAGTCAGTAAAATAATGTAAATAGTAAATATTGCACAGCAGCCATTTCGTCTAGGATATTTCACGCACAGAAATATACATTGTATAAGAATCCAGGCTATGTCAGCCATCTTTGTTTTGATTTGGCCTTAACTTGCCTTAGCAGTTGTCTCCCTTGTCCTGTGCGTCTGCCTTCCGACTGTCACAGCAGGGAGTCCACCGACACATAGCTGGAATATTTGCTGAATGCGGCGTTAAGCAACAAACAAAATCAAAACAAGCCTGTTAAAAAACATGCAAAGCGCACATGTAATAATGAGTTCACGCTTCATACACCCTTGCATTTTTGACGTAGGACAGACATGTCGGAAAGCACACGTAAAATCTCCAAGTCGTCGTCGTCATCATCATCATCATCATCATCATCATCATGACAGACAGTAGTGTTTATGAGACTGACTGACTGAGTTTAGTTTTACGCCGCTTTTAGCAATTTTCCAGCAATATCACGGCGGGGGACACCAGAAATGGGCTTAACACATTGTGCCCATGTGGGGAATCGAACCCGGGCCTTCGGCGTGACGAGCCAACGCTTTAACCACTAGGCTACCCCACCGCCCCGTGTTTAAGAGAAATGCTATGGCATATTTGCTGAATAATAATCTTAATCCACTGGGATTGTACTTCTATCCGTCAATAAGAATAAACAAGCAAAAATGAATACAGAGAGGTAAACATATGACTGCACAATGTGTCGAATTTGATTACCATAAAAGACGTTAGCTGAGGCGACTAACGGCATGGAGAGTCCGGGCTTGCTGACTTGGTTGATGCCTGTCATCGTTTCCTGACAACAATCACTGGATTGTCATGCTCAGGTCCTGACTTAACCATTTACGGTTATATACGTTACAGGGAAAGTGTAAAACCAGGCATTTCACGTAATCCCTAAAAGAGTCAGTGATTTCATGAAATCCCTGTTACCCCCAGGGATTTCATGTATTCCCTAAAATTTCCAGGGATTTCATGAAATTACTGAAATATTAGATCAGGGATTTCATGTAATCCCTGTAAGGCTTTACTGAAATAGAGAACACCAAATTTATAATGCGAGTACAGAGTATATGCTGATAAAATTCATTTGTTTGGACAAGTTAGACTGTTATGATACAAGCTATTACACTTCAGTATCACTTTCAAACATTTACAACGTATCGATTTACATTGGTTAGGACAACAGTTACATTTCTGGAAACCCTGACCACCACAATTCGACTCGAAAATCACAGCTGTGTGGAGGAATGAACTTGTCACATCATTCGTAGAGAGAAGACGCTGGGGACAAACATGAAATATGTGCTTTGAAAAATATCTTTTCCATCCCAGTGGCCTAATCTGTTTATACTTAAACTTCTATTTTCAATAAAGAAAACACTTTTTTTTAAAAAAACTCGCTAAATTTTTAAATGCTATTTCACAGTAAAATGTTGAGCCATTCCGTACAGAATTATGAGAGACACTTGTGCCACAATATACATAGTATAATATATGAATATAAAAAATGCAATAAAAAGGGTACAAGTTACATTAAGAAGATATATACAAATTTGCAGTAAGCTTTTTAAGAATATTAAGGCAGGTTTGGTCGGATAAAACGCTACACCTGGACAAGCTAGAAATAAAAATAACTTTTTCAGCATACCAAGATTTAAAAAATAACATCTAAAAGACTTGTACATTTAGATAAAAGTTGCAATCTCTCATCAGCATACAAAGGTCAATGCAATAAAACATGACACTCATCTTCAATAAAATCTTTACAGTAACAGCAAATTCTTTCAGTTTCGGTTCTAAGCGAAATCGCTAAAAACAACCTCTGTAACTTTTAAAGCTACAAAAGGAATATTGATACACAACGTTGATATCCTTATATCAACACCCAACGACAAATTATTAATCATAACAATAAGATGCATCAGCAAGTGTGATGCCGCGATAAGATATTGGGTCTCTCGGGTTGTCAGCTCCAGACTTAGGGGTAGGGGTAATGATCCCCTGGGCCCATGACCAGTCTCATAACATGTAGAAAACAGTTTATGAAGATACTCTACACAGATGTCATTTATCAAAACATCAGCTGGAATATTATCGAAACCCGGTTATTTCCCTCTCTTAGCTTGACTTAATGTCATCAGTAAATAGTAAAGTTTTCAACTCCTAAGACCTAAGGGATGAAATGAGACTATACAGTTAAGCCGTGAGTAAATTAACTTGGTACTCCGACTCAAGGTAGTAATTAGCCAAAAGTGTCATCGGTAAATTGACTAAGTTTTCAACTTCTAAGAACTAAGGGATGAAATGAGAGCTCAACAGTAAAGTTTAAGCTACAAACATTAATTTCACACACTCACTGATATCCTAACAGGGAATGTGTGTAATGGAACACGATGAAAATCAGTAATTTCCTGAAATCCCTTGAAATTTTAGGGAATACATGAAATCCCTGGGGGTCACAGTGATTTCACGAAATCACTAAATCTTTTAGGGAATACGTGAAAACCCTGGTTTCACACATTCCCAGTAACATATATATATATATATACTGAGTCAAAATAATAACTTCACAAATTATATTTGTAAATCAACATATGAATTGCTATAGTAGACAGATTCGGGTATCATATAATATTAATCCCCAAGTATCGACTCAAGCAAAAAGTCAATCCAAACATCGTGCACCCCACAGTAGTGCTAAAACGTGTTCTTCACCTGCCACATGTCACGTGATCGTATTATTGCACGTGCATTCGATCGCACATGTTCCCATCAACTGTACAAAGTGAAAAAAAACACTTTAAAAACACTAACAAGTACAGCTAGTTCTTATATTCTTATGCAGCGCCTCTCAAATGAGAAGCGGGAACGTCAGTAAGTGACTTTGCCAGGACAATGGGGTGCAGCCGTCGGACAGTTTATGATTTACAGACTCGACTGCAACAAACTGGCACCACTGCTGATCGCCCTAGCACAGGCCCTCGTGTCTTTGCGAGGATTAAGATTCTTTTAATATATTCCGACAACATGCCCACTGGCAGTGACTGGTTAAATCTCTCCTGGGCTGGTAAGTTTTTCAAGTCACCAGCCCAGATGTCTGGCTGGGTTTTTGGCTTATTTCATACACTGCTGTCAAGGTCACCTGATCTTAATCCAATCGACCACATCTAGAATGCTCTTGGTAGACGTCTGCGCACTCTCAGGAACCAACCTCAGAATTTGCAGGATCTTGGTGCTGCTTTGCAGGAACAATGGCGCCAACTCCCCAATATTGTGTCAGACAGTCCATGAGGAGGCGTTGCTTGGCAGTTGTGTTTACACACATCATACAGTCCACGAGGAGGCGTTGCTTGGCAGTTGTGTTTACATATATCAGACAGTCCATGAGGAGGCGTTGCTTGGCAGTTGTGTTTACACACATCATACAGTCCATGAGGAGGCGTTGCTTGGCAGTTGTGTTTACACACATCAGACAGTCCACGAGGAGGCGTTGCTTGGCAGTTGTGAACGCACGGGGTGGCCATACACGCTACTGAACGTTTGCAACATCAGATTTAATTCTTGTGACTTGAAACTTTGTTTACGCCTTTTATTGATAAATTCTGTAACCACATGGAACCGACTTTTGGCATTGTGATTATTCTCAGTTCATCCTATCGACCTTAACAAATAAATGATAACCTCTATATCACATTCTTGAGCCATTTCTTTTATATATTATTTAATATATGATTGTGAAGTTTCTAGTTTAACTCAGTATAGTTGACAATGTAATATTAATGGTGTGTATATGAGTGTGGGGCTTAAACAGCGAACAAATTACTGAGACACTGAACAAACAAAATCAGAAAACTGTTGAAAGTCTAAAGTCTAGATTTCTTCTGTCCCTAAATGATAAGATTGCCCTGTCTTTTGTATTACATATTATTACATATTATTACATATTATTACATGTTATTACATATTATTACATGTTATTACATATTATTACATGTTATGAAAGTTGTGCTGTGGATTTTAAGTTAAGAATGGTAAAAGTCCAAACTGATGTGAAATACAAATGTTAATTGTTTTTTACTGTTTTGGTTTGAAAGTGAATGCTTGTGAATTACCCCTTATTATGTCAACATGATAATAGCTGTCACAGAGTCCAACTATTCACTGACAATATACTTATGAACAGGGAACGTACCTTGTGAGGGCTCACAGGTGTTGAAGGTCCAGTTCTTACCGTAATGTGTAACATAAACTTACTCATGTTTTATCTTATACAAATAGCGATTAAGCATTAGTTTCATGATATAAGCCAGTTACAATGTATGGTACTGTTTGAAAAGTATTCAAGCAGGGAGACATTGAATTATTCGACATTGTATAATCCGACATTTTTTCCTGGTCCCAGTGAGTGTCGGATTATACAGAGTCCACTGTGATGTGCACTTATAATACGGTTGTCCATGGACATAAAAAACATTGCGTTATGGTGTTAGTTCATCGTCACCGGAAGTGATTTGCTTCAAGGATAGATTGGACTTGAACACTGCCAGGGAGAAAGCGACCATATGTGGTGCACTTCTGCCCAATCCCTTTGGACAATAAAATATGTTTAAAACAAACACTGCCAATGATTCCATAAATGTAAGTCCTCCTATATTTGTGTGAGTATGGTAGGATATCATTATCCCCCTTAGTGTTAAATGTAAGACGTTTTACAAATTGAAGTATAAGCTATCTATTCCCTGCAACAGCTACGTTTCAAAAGGACCTTCGGATTCGGGTAAAGAGATTACTCACGTGCCCGAGAATTATCCTCGTAGTAAAGTATATCTTATAATTTAGCCACGCCTTTTATTGGTATAATATTATTTCTCCTTTTTTTATAGTGTATGGTGTAAAACACACACTGTCGGTTTTATATATTCAGTCATTATAGTTTCTGAGTCAGGCAAGTATGTATATAACGAACCCTTATGCACTAATAATACACAATCTACACAAATACACGCACGCACGCGCGCACACACACACACACATGCATGCATACTAATAATGATGGAACGAAACGTGTGCACATTCAGACGACCATTCAAGATCGCAACGAATAAAAAAGTAAATAAATGTAAACAATAAAATAGTTTTAAAATGAGTTCGGAAACGCAAAGCCAGTGACGTGAATCCACTGACAGAACTACGGTAACACAATGTTATCTCTGTCTGAGCAGGTAGCCGTTTGTTCTTGTGTCAGATAAGCAGCCACACCGTCAGAATGGGCCGTCTTGCTGCCTTCCTCTTTGTTTCCATGCTTGCGGGTCAGTTAATCGATTACATTGACGTTTGTTGATTACATTGAAAAAAGTCGTTTAAAATTTAGTCACTCTTGAAATATCTATTCAGAACGATACACCCGTTCTAGGTAAAATATATTCTTCTAAAAAAAGTTTTAAAATGAGTGAGTGAGTGAGTTTAGTTTTACGCCGCACTCAGCAATATTCCAGCTATATGGCGGCGGTCTGTAAATAATCGAATCTGGACGGGACAATCCAGTGATCAATAGCATGAGCATCGATCTGCACAATTGGTTTAAAAATAGGAAAGACGTCAGAGCAACTATAGTGTTCGTTAGTTTCTGTTATGTAGATTATTATCAAGACATACACTGGGCATATCCAGACCTTGACAACACGGACGTATTTATCGATGTTGTTTCAAATCTCATATGTAGTAGAGAAACTATCTTTAAAACATGGCCATGTGTTGAGCGTCTCAGCACAATTCATACATACTACTGGCAATTTAATGCACAATTGTCGGAATAATTATGAACAGACGACAGTTATTTACAACCTCCCTGTTTGTTACACCTGTCTCCGTTATAGCCGACAATCCACCACTGTTACCTGCCTGTTTGTTACACCTGTCTCCGGTATAGCCGACAATCCGTCGTTGTTACCCGCCTGTTTGTTACACCTGTCTCCGTTATAGCCGACAATCTACCGCCGTTACCTGCCTGTTTGTTACACTTGTCTCCGCTATATTATAGCTGACAATCCACCGCCGTTACCCGCCTGTTTGTTACACCTGTCTCCGTTATAGCCGACAATCTACCGCCGTTACCTGTCTGTTTGTTACACCTGTCTCCATTATAGCCGACGATCCACCGCCGTTACCTGCCTGTTTGTTACACCTGTCTGCGTCATAGCCGACAATCCGACGCCGTTACCTGCCTGTTTGTTACACCTGTCTGCGTTACAGCCGACAATCTACCGCCGTTACCTGCCTGTTTGCTACACCTGTCTCCCTTATAGCCGACAATCTACCGCCGTTACCTGCCTTTTTGTTATACCCTTTCTGTTATAGCCGACAATCCGCCGCCGTTCCCTGCCTGTTTTTGATACACCTGTCTCCGTTATAGCCGACAATCCGATGCCGTTACCCGCCTGTTTGTTACACCTGTCTCCATTATAGCCGACAATCCGACGCCGTTACCTTCCTGTTTGTTACACCTGTCTACGTTATAGCCGACAATCCGACGCCGTTACCTGTCTGTTTGTTACACCTGTCTCCGTTATAGCCGACAATCCGCCACTGTTTACTGCCTGTTTGTTACACCTGTCTGCGCTACCGCCTACAATCTACCGCCGTTACCCGCCTGTTTGTTATACCTGTCTCCGTTATAGCCGACAATCCGCCGCCGTTACCTGCCTGTTTGCTACACCTGTCTCCGTTATAGCCGACAATCTACTGCCGTTACCTGCCTGTTTGTTACACCTGTCTCCGTTATAGCCGACAATCTACCGCCGTTACCTGCCTGTTTGTTACACCTGTCTCCGTTATAGCCGACAATCCGCCGCCGTTCCCTGCCTGTTTTTGATACACCTGTCTCCGTTATAGCCGACAATCCGATGCCGTTACCTGCCTGTTTGTTACACCTGTCTACGTTATAGCCGACAATCCGACGCCGTTACCTGTCTGTTTGTTACACCTGTCTCCGTTATAGCCGACAATCCACCGCCGTTACCTGCCTGTTTGTTACACCCGTCTCCGTTATAGCCGACAATCCGCCGCTGTTTACTGCCTGTTTGTTACACCTGTCAGCGCTACCACCTACAATCTACCGCCGTTACCCGCCTGTTTGTTACACCTGTCTCCGTTATAGCCGACAATCCACTGCCGTTACCCGCCTGTTTGTTACACCTGTCTCCGTTATAGCCGACAATCTACCGACGTTACCTGCCTGTTTGTTACACCTGTCTCCGTTATAGCCGACAATCTACTGCCGTTACCTGCCTGTTTGTTACACCTGTCTCCGTTATAGCCGACAATCCGCCGCCGTTACCTGTCTGTTTGTTACACCTGTCTCCGTTATAGACGACAATCCACCGCCGTTACCTGCCTGTTTGTTACACCTGTCTCCGTTATAGCCGACAATCCGACGCCGTTACCTGCCTGTTTGCTACACCTGTCTCCGTTATAGCCGACAATCTACTGCCGTTACCTGCCTGTTTGTTACACCTGTCTCCGTTATAGCCGACAATCTACTGCCGTTACCTGCCTGTTTGTTACACCTGTCTCCGTTATAGCCGACAATCCGCCGCCGTTACCTGTCTGTTTGTTACACCTGTCTCCGTTATAGACGACAATCCACCGCCGTTACCTGCCTGTTTGTTACACCTGTCTCCGTTATAGCCGACAATCCGACGCCGTTACCTGCCTGTTTGTTACACCTGTCTCCGTTATAGCCGACGATCCACCGCCGTTACCTGTCTGTTTGTTACACCTGTCTCCGTTATAGCCGACAATCCGCCGCCGTTACCTGCCTGTTTGCTACACCTGTCTCCGTTATAGCCGACAATCTACTGCCGTTACCTGCCTGTTTGTTACACCTGTCTCCGTTATAGCCGACAATCTACTGCCGTTACCTGCCTGTTTGTTACACCTGTCTCCGTTATAGCCGACAATCCGCCGCCGTTACCTGTCTGTTTGTTACACCTGTCTCCGTTATAGACGACAATCCACCGCCGTTACCTGCCTGTTTGTTACACCTGTCTCCGTTATAGCCGACAATCCGACGCCGTTACCTGCCTGTTTGTTACACCTGTCTCCGTTATAGCCGACGATCCACCGCCGTTACCCGCCTGTTTTTTTTGTTACACCTGTCTCTGTTATAGCCGACAATCCACCACCGTTACCCGCCTGTTTGTTACACCTGTCTCCGTTATAGACGACAATCCACCGCCGTTACCTGCCTGTTTGTTACACCTGTCTCCGTTATAGCCGACAATCCGACGCCGTTACCTGCCTGTTTGTTACACCTGTGTCCGTTATAGCCGACGATCCACCGCCGTTACCCGCCTGTTTTTTTTGTTACACCTGTCTCTGTTATAGCCGACAATCCACCACCGTTACCCGCCTGTTTGTTACACCTGTCTCCGTTATAGCCGACAATCTACCTCTGTTAAATGCCTGTTTTGTCACACTCGTTCTTCTACAAATATATGCCAGTCAAATTTATAAGTTGTTTTTTTTTTTATTTGTTTCCTGGAATGAGAATACATGTAAGGTGGTCTTCCACGCCCAGTTTCGGTGCATCCTACATCTTCACAATCGACTTCTTATGAGCGAATTTTCTACAACAGTCTTCACCCAATTTTGTCAAAACAGTCGTAATTACTGTCGACCTCCTTACACCCCATTTCGCTTCAATCACTTTACACCTGACTTCGTTCAAACCGAGTTCCTTACAACCATATCCATTGCATCCGATCCAGTTAAACCCGACGTCATGACATCCGGCATCGTTGTTGAAGCTCGTTGGTGGACTCTAAAATCGAGACTCGGCAATTTGGCCAGGTTTATCTATGAACTGATGTCTACATGGGTACAACATAAGGCCATTACTAATGTCCCTTGACGTGATATTGCTTGAATATTGACAAAAAACGTTAAAAAACGCAACTGACGAATAAACACTGTCCACAGCTCCTGTTCTGTGCCAGTTGATCACACCTTTCCAAGCCTGCCAGATGAAATGTTTGGACGACCAAAACGCAACATGGCCGAACCACGCCACGCCGGAGATTTACGAATATTGCCGGACACATTGTCTTGAACACTGGTAAAAACATGATAGAAAATTAGTGATATATTTTACCCTCGTTACTCAAAACCGTTCCCAGTAACGCTTCTGCCCTGTGTTTACACAAGCACATTCATTTATAGCGGAAGCCCAGTATGTACAGTTTCCAGACTAAGGGGGTCTTACTTCAAACATAAATGTTCACTTCAGAAATTTCAGTTTTTAAATTCCAGTGTAGAGTTTGTGGAAAGTCTTTGCGATTTGTAAATTATTTTCATGGTAATTACCGTCAATACTTCACGGGTTTGTATATGTTACAGTCAATGTCTACAATCAGACAATGTGTACAATGACTGAAATAACCAGTGAATGTGTACATTGCCTGATTCACTCAGTCATTGTGTTTATTGTGTAAAATTTCCAGGCATTGAGTTTATTGTGTAAAATTTCCAGGCGCGTTTTCCCATCACGCGTGATTACATATCCGATGCAGTCGTTATTTCCAAACAGCCAATTAAACCACGGCCTGTTTTATTCCAAGAGGGACCCAGCGACCCGTGAAGTAAACACGATACCTATTGATCAATAGGTGTCCGCCCGATCTGTCGACAAATGAAAAATAGGATGTTTCTAACCGTCGACAAAACAAAAAACCCGGAGTGTCGACATCGCGTGGTCAACATACCGTGACGGTGTTAGTTAATGAAAGAGAATGTTTGCTTAGTGGTTTGCAAGTGGCTATGGTGGCTACAGTTATGCTCGTATCATGAGTAAATGAATTAAGTTGATTAAAGAGAATGTCGTTTTAACAGTTTGCAAGAGAATTAAGGTTGCAAAAACAGACTATTATTTTACGTTATGCGAGTGGAAGGATAACCATGACCAACTTGGAATCATTTGGAAAATGATGGACACAGAACCTACAATAATTTGGAAGGTTGGCACAACAAAATCAACAGGTATGCCATGAAGACACATCCGAATGTATTTGAGGTTGTGCAATGCTACAAACAGAACAGTTAGCTACTGAAGTTAAAATTCAGCAGATCCAAGGACAGCAGAGAGATCCCGCCCGTAGACGTCGCTACCGAATCATCGCTGCCAGGATTCGATCCTTGAAGGCCGACCTTCTTGCCGACAGACTTACTGACTTGAATTACACAGACCATGTGTCAGAGTTGCTTTATCTTGGCTGAACATTCAGATTACTTTAGTGCAGATATAAAGGATTTGTGGCAAGAAGAAATAACTGGACTCATCTTTTATATATTTATTACTTATACACCAGCAGAAATCACTTATTATATAAAACACACACACACAAATATATTGTGTGAGCTTTATGAAATAAATATACAAATATGTTATATTGTGTGACATATGCTACATGCATGATACATGCATGTTGTTATATTGACTGAATAAATATATTGTGTCAGCTTTATGAAATATATATATACAAATATGTTATATTGTGTGACATATGATACATGCATGTTGTTATATTGACTGAATAAATATATTGTCTACTATATATATCACACTCTGTTTTAATTGGTTTGTTAATTTTGAGAACACTGGGAGTGAAGTCACTCATGTAGAACATCACCTCCTTTTCCCGGACTGTCGACAAGTAATTTGGACGGATTATTTCTTGTTGTCGACAGTCCGGGCATAAACCGATCAATATGGATAAGATATTTTGTTATTGAATATTACATATTTTAGCAAGTTTTTCACTGTTGCAGGCAAGATTTACTATTCGGGAATCAAGGCACCCTGGGATAGACGACCATAGAGCTACTGTACAAGCTTAGATTTCCATCACATTGTGTAATAAAGGTTTTCAAACAAAACGCCAAGCATGTCCTTACGTCCTATGTCAAATAGCGTGATATTCAGACGCAAAAAGTTTCCAGATGGAATATACTCCAGGAAGGTTTGTGTCATAATACATTTTTGTCTTGTCTTTGTGCGTGTTGTTTTGGTAATATTTAGACATTATTCCTGAGATATGACGTCGACAGTTGGAATATTCGAGTCTTTACCAGGCAGTCGAGTGATAGATATTGTAACCCGAGGTCGGGGAAAGATACCACTCCCTCACCTAATACAGTCACACAAGCTGATACCGGCGAATCCCATGTTACCTATGACCACTTTCTAACTGACAAAACATCTCTCAAAGACTGTATGACAAAAGGGATGACTTCGACATTCCAAGGTAAGTAATTCCCTTTATGTGGAGCAATTTGGTGTCTATATTTCACGACTTTCTGGGTACAGTTGATCATATTCTTTCTTAAGTTGAATATTTTCAATAATTATGTGCGTATTTCTGTTAGTCGAATTCCTTTTGCATAGATCTAAATATGTAACATGTGAGGCGGATTCCCTGGTATCTCTACACTGCTAGATCAACTTGGTAAGACAGTGGAAACTTATTGGCTGCTTGACCAGTATTGACCGATATCCGGGTTAGAATTGATCTTCAGTAACCCATGCTTGTCGTATGAGGCGACTAAAGGGATCGGGTGGTCAGGCTCGTTGACTTGGTTGACATATGTCATCGGTTCCCAATTGCGCACATCGATGCTCATGTTGTTGATCACTGGATTGTCTGGTCCAGACTCGATTATTTACAGACCGCCGCCATATAGCTGGAATATTGCTGAGTGTGGCGTAAAACTAAACTCACTCACTCACTCACTCAATGATGTAAATGTGTGTTACGTCAAAAATGAAAAAGACAAGCTATTGTCTGCCCTTGTCATTACAGAGCTCTCTCCCTTTCCGGATACTCGATTCCTAGAAATAGGTCTCGATTCCAGCTGTACCCGACCCGGAGTACCCGAGTACCCGTCGCAGCCTTAGAATTCAGTGATTCATTTGTCGCCCCTGAATATGAAATATAAGTGATGTAATTGGCGTTTCAATACCGGCCTTCGCGAAACGTGATTTTGTAAACACTATCAAATAAGGCGCAAAGTGCACTTGGGCGTTCGTGTGAGTGTATTTATGAAAACATCTGAACACGATTCCAGGTTTATCGGTAACGTTTCAGAATTATTAGTGATTTTATGAAAAACTGATATCATTGTTAATTAATATGCTATTTTTGAAAGTCTATACTCCAAGTAATTATCCGATTTTGTTTGGATATGTCCGTCTGGCATCCCTTCCCATAGATGGATTTTAAGTATATTTTTACTAATCATTTCAGCAATAGGCCTAATTTCTTTTTCATTCTTCGAATGTCTTAAGTGAAGCAAATCATCTTTTAAAAATGCTATATAAATTGACGAAAACTTAGTTAGCATAAACATTGCTCTCGCAACTGATGTGTAGGAAAATAAACAAAACATCATTATGTATCTATTTCTGTTGTGAGTGATATGTAGGCCTACTTCGTAGTCACTTTGATTACATGTTATATTTGAATATCGAAACCTTTTTGTCACAGCGAACACAACACTATCTCTTGTCACAATACACGATAATATTTGGAATTTTTAACTTATTTTATAACAATATCTGAATGATAATGTTATACACTGATGGGCTCATAGAAGGAATACAATGGCACAATAGTATTTCTGTGCCGAATCGTTTCACCGTTCTATAATACCCTTATGAAATATAATACATGTTTTCCGTCCTTGAAGACATTGAAAAGAACTATCTATGCATTAAATGAAGGTTTACCTTATTAATGAGTATCGATGATATTATATTCATCTACTACAGCGTTCTATAATACACTTATGAAATATGATATATGTTTTCCGACCGTGAAGTCATTAAAAAGAATTATGCATTTTCTGCAGTCACTTGTGAATTGAACTAAATGAAGGTTCATCTGATTAATGAGTAACGTGGAAATTATGTTCATCTATAAATTAGACGCAGTTTCATGTTTTTCGAGACATCTTTCCGGACTATGCGTCTGTGAAGGCGTTCAGATAATGACGATATTGCACAGTTTTATTCATGAGATTCCTGTCAAAAGTAAGGTCGGATAATAGATCGATTTTATTCAGCAGTGTTGACCCTTGGGCCTATAGTACAATTACAGTTTGATTACTTGCACGTGGTGCTAGTAACATATTAAGTTTCTATTGGTATTGAATGCATATTTCAGATAAAAGCTATGGTATTAATTACACAACATGTATATTGTTTGATGTTAAAAGATTTGGCAATGTGCGTTCATACATTACAATTTTTGACAGACTTGGCAAATAATTAATAAATGATATTGATAGCATCTTCACGACTAGGCCATACAGTAATGACAATTTAAGGTGAAAAGTGACGTAAATTGTAATAAAAACGCAAATTGTAATACTTGCAGCAAATTGTAATAAACTTGACGTAAATTGTAATAAAAACTTAAATTGTAATAAAAATTGACGTAAATTGTAATACGCAAATTGTAATAAAAATTGACGTAAATTGTAATACTTTTCGTTGCGGTAAAATGTAATAAATATTTACGTAAATTGTAATAACAGTTTTAATCACTCGTAAATACGCGAGTGTTTGTTTTTTGTTGCATTTCATACATCAAATAAGCTTGTTAGGGCGATAACTCCAGAAAGAAATGATGGATTTTGTTCAAATTTGGTACCAAGGTATATTGGCGAGATTCACCGACACAAGTGAAATGGAGTAACCTTGAGATAATTTTCAAGGTCACAGCAAAAATCTGATGGTTTTGCCAATATAAAGATTGTTAGCGCGATAACCCAAGAAAGAATTGACAAATCTTAACCAAATGACAAAAATAATATTCGTCCTGATATAGAATCGATATAAACTGTCCTCTGTATCATGTCTTGTCGTGAATATCTTTTGAGGTTTTGATATGTATGAATATAAAGTAGGGTGGGGTGGGGATGGGTTTCTAACGGTTATATCAAATCAAATCAAATCAAATTAGACATTTGTATAGCGCTACATATCCAGAGTCCTGCTCATGTGCGCTTAGTGGAATGCTCGTTTGAAGAGGATGGTTTTGAGACACGATCGGAAACTGTTGATATTTTCCGATTTTCTGACATTTTCAGGTAATCAATTCCAGAGTACAGCACCCGGTCTGCTAAATGATCTGTCTCCGTATGTTGTGGTTCGGACAAATGGAATAGCCTAGCTGACTAGCAATGAAATGCATCACAAATTAAACTTCAGGAAACAAAATATGCAAGAAACATTTTTGTATGTTTGAGATAGGTAGAGGTCGGCTAGAATCAAACTTAGATATTAAACTGCACAAAAAGGCAATTTGAAACTACAATCGCTTTTTCAAATGACTCCCCCTTCGGTTTAATGAAAGAACTCGAGAAAGAAATGATGGATTTTGTTCAAATTTGGTACCAAGGTTTATTGACGAGATTTACCGACACCACTTGAATTTTGTGACCTTGAGGTCATTTTAAAGGTCACAGCGAAGGTGCAACAGTTTTGCACATGCCAAGCTTGGTAGCCGCGAACTCAGGAAAGAATTAATAGATTTTGATCCAATTTTATGTCAAGGTGTATTGATGGGAATCCCCCTACACCAATTGAAACAAAATATGCAAAAAACATGTTGTATGTTGGTAAAAGTCAAACTTAGATATTAAACTGCACAAAAAAGCAATTTTAAACTAGAATCGCTTGTTCAAGTGACTCCCCCTTCATGTTTACTGAAAGGGCTTGTTTTGGAGACACTACCCACCTCCTTTCAGTTGACGTCATCATAAGGATATAACTCATCCTAAAGTTTTCACTTATTCATACATGGTTTCAAGGGTTCAAACTAAATACTGAATGGTCACACAAGTGTCAGCTCTCAATATGTTGTATATCTGGACACAATGTTTTTGAAAATTTAAAATGAGGGTGTCCTCAGTCCCCGTCTAAATGTAAATCAAGCAATCCAAATCTTTGAATGTTGATGATGACGGGAAGTCATCCAATATTATGCTGAACATATTTTATATGATACTATCTGAGGGTATACCATTATCCAAGAGATAGCGCAATGGTGCAGTTGTAAGGCGTCTGCCTATCACGCTGAAGGGCCTGTTTCGAGGAGGCACCTAGGTTCGGGTCCCGAGATGGGGCACATTTGCGTAGTATCCTTGGACAAGATACTTAGATCTACACTAACTCAGTTCACCCAGCTGTAAAATGGGTACCCGTGAGTATGTGCTGGCAATGTGAGTGTTTAGTTCATTGCGCCTAACAGGCAGCATGGCTGTACAGTCCCCAGGGAGTTGAAAAAGTATCGGAAACTACGATAGTGTCCTATGATCAGGGATAGTAATGTACGTAGCATTAGGTGAGCAGGCAATGTGCCTGGATGTGAGCGGTATATAAGCGGACTATTACTATTACTAGATACCAAATGGGAGATCGTTTTCCATTTTCTTCAAATTTGCAAGAAACATAATACCCCAATGTTGTGAGGCCCCAATTCTGCTACCACAATACCCACAAGGAATTTTGGATATGACTTTGCTAATGATTCCTTCCAAATTAAATGGAAGCTGTTTTTCAAATATTGGACATCGAGAATATAGTTAGTTTGACTACTTTTTCAACGCCCCTCGTAACATACTTAAAAGAAATGAGAACGTCTAAGGAAAAAAGCATTTCGATCTCTGAATACTTCTGAGCTATTTAAATACAAAAAGCAAAGGAATAAAGTAAATAATTTGAAAAGAATAGCCAAGGGAAACTTTTAATCTATTTTTGATAACTATTTATCACTTCAGTCTACTCAATCAGGTTGTTACTACTTCATCGGGACCCATTCCCCTTCAGGTTTTACAGATTTGGATAAAGCTCAAACATTAAATGATTATTTTGTATATAT